GGGGGCGCTGTGCATGTAAAAACCGCATATAACCCGCGGGTTATATGGGTGAAAATACGGTATTTAATTATGTAGTTTGTATATTAGTTCAACGTAACTGAATCAATCCTTTTCTGATGTAATCTATATTTATTTATATTTGTGGTACAGGATTTTCTCTGGATTTTTTAAACTTAACATTCCTTTCATTTGCCCAAGATAAATTGATAGTATTACAAAGGATAAATTGTAAATTTGATATTTACAGACTGGATATATCTTACATATACTTATAAAATTAAATAATAAAATGTATCTATTTACCATTGGTTCATCTGTGTTTTTTTGGAACTGAACCAATCGCACTCTTGTGACATTCTCCATGTCCATGTCTCCATTTATGCTTTCTGGAGAATCTCCATTTAAATATGGGGATGTGGGAGGTGGAGTAACTCTTAATGCTTCATCACTGTAAACTTCATGTGCCACTACATCATGAGTTTGGAGTAAGGCCTACAGAAAGATATAATGTTCATATTTCATTATCTTTTGTGTTTTATTTAATGCAAAGATGATTAAATTAATTATAAAGAGTTGAAAAACTTCAAGCTATTCAACCATAATTCAACCCAAACATCATATGCTATATGACTTTCAGTTTTCCTAACAGTAATAACAGTGCACTAATATTTCAATTACTGTATTTTTCGGAGTATAAGACGCACCGGAGTATAAGATGCACCAAAATTTTGAAGAGGCAAAATAAAAAAAAAGTTTTTGTACTCTGTAGATCTCCCAAAAACGTTTTTCAAAAAAAACGCTCCCCTTCCCCTCAAAGGGCATGAATAGCCTTTAGGAGTCTTATAAAATGCTCCTCGGGGAGCACAATTGAGCAAAAATTGGGCCATTTTTCGCTCATTTCTGCCTCCCCCCCAAACGAGCAAAAAACGGCCCAATTTTTTGTCAAAAAAAGGGCATGAATAGCCTTTAGGAGTCTTATAGAGTGCTCCTGGGGGAGCACAACTGAGCAAAAAATGGCCCATTTTTCGCTCATTTCTGCCTCCCCCCCCCAAACGAGCAAAAAACGGCCCAATTTTTTGTCAAAAAAGGGCATGAATAGCCTTTAGGAGTCTTATAGAGTGCTCCTGGGGGAGCACAACTGAGCAAAAAATGGCCCATTTTTCGCTCATTTCTGCCTCCCCCCCCAAACGAGCAAAAAACGGCCCAATTTTTTGTCAAAAAAGGGCATGAATAGCCTTTAGGAGTCTTATAGAGTGCTCCTGGGGGAGCACAACTGAGCAAAAAATGGCCCATTTTTCGCTCATTTCTGCCTCCCCCCCCAAACGAGCAAAAAACGGCCCAATTTTTTGTCAAAAAAGGGCATGAATAGCCTTTAGGAGTCTTATAGAGTGCTCCTGGGGGAACAAAGTGCTGTACAGTAGAAGCCCTTTGAAGGCACAACAGGCTATATCATAACAGAAAACACAAACC